AAGTATGCACATAACTGGGAGGAAAGGCAAGATTTCCATGACGCCACCATCATAGATGCGGCTAGGGTATCAAAATGCCAAAATAGTGCATGTGGCTTACGTGAAAAACCAATAGTTGCTTTCCACATCGTCTTAGGATGATGAAAAAAGTTAAGGTATAGCAACAATTACAATATACAGAAAACTAATGAGTACGCATAACCACTTTAAAGTGGCTCAGGAATGGCATAAATTAAAATCCTGAAGCATAATTCTGAAATCAGCATAAATTTTGACAAACGAAAGTCTTAAGAAGGGATCTAATGGCTCTACTGTCCTATATACTAAAACCAAGTCTTCGTGATATTACAGGAATTCAAAATTATGTTTCACACATCATGATTCCATAATACAAGCAGAAGATATTTGAGAAGAACTATAAAAGAGAGGTTCCTAGAAGTTTGTGACCTGGGGAACTCAGAGTCAGCAACATAAAAACTTGGATTGGACATGCACACTTGGAAACCCAAAAGCACTAGGAAGAAGGAAAAGCATTTGCATATAATTGAACACATGACCACTACCTGTCCATGAGTCAAAATCCTTTTAGTTGGCTTAATAGCATTTTCATCTTGTTCTTCATCCTTTGGGATAATATCCCAGAAGTCAGGAGCCAAAGGTTTTCTGACCCCTTTCTTTGTTGGTGGTCGTTGTCCAATTTCAACCGTGATTGTTGTTTTCCGCAAGATTTCCCCAGAGTAAATTTTGAATTTCATTCTTGGATACCATCCTATTGACAATGCCTGCCTCTGTCATAATGATAAAAAAAAAAAAAAAAATCTGACTTTAGAAACTGCATAGCTGACTGTACCACTGTGAGCGGGAAAGGGGAAACATTACTCACCACACAGTACTTGCAGCCCTTGCTCAAATTTTCTTTAGGCCTCGAATCATTTTTCTGTACATGTACAAACCAGCAAATAAATAAACTAATTAACAAAGCAGAGGTAAACAGGAAAGTCCCAATTTTGAAGGCAACATTATTTGTTAATTTGGTACCTCTTCTCGAGGTTTACGATGGGGAAAAAGTAAAAGTAAATGACAACCATAATGAGACATACAAGCTTATCCTGGTAATTCAATAAGAGCACAAAAACTAAATTGACTCACTGTCCTTAACAGGATTTCATGGTGATATTAGCATTCCCAAAAAGAATGAATGTTCTACATTCCCTGAGCATCATAAAAGGCTGAGAGGTCTAACTACCACTAATGTTAGTTAACTAGCCCAAGCCTGGCAAAAAAAACTAAGCATTCTACATATTCAAGCAAAGCAATGAGATGCAATACCTTCACCAGATCTTGCCGGATAGATTTGCAACTCGGACAAATTTTATTCAAAATTTGAACAACTTCGGACATAAAATACGGGTTCAGAATTCTTGTAGGAAATTTCACAACACCGAAGTGACCTGCAAAATTTTCATATAGAAATATTACGCATCGGCAGAGCAGAAGTTTTTCACAAAATTTAACTAAAAGGCAGTTGTTGAACCTTCACAAAATTTCAAATCTTTAGCACCACATGTGGAGCACTGAGAACTATGATTCGGAAGTCCTAATTTTGAGTCAGTGACCTCACTGGTCGTAGTGATGTCCAGAACTGAAAGTTTTTCCTGTTGCATTCAGAACAAAAGGTTTTGATAACCATTAGCACTTTGTCTACCACATGCAGCTTAATTATGATTAAAAAACTAGATATTTGCTCACCTTTTCATCTTTGGTTGCAATGCCAAATGTTATGCTTCTTAGGACAGCAGAGGGTGGCTGTTGCACCTCAGATGCATCAGCCTCCATTATACTTGAAATTTCCTTCTTATTCAAATAGTCAAGCAGCCTACAAATTAATCAAGTTGCCACAAGGAAAGTGAAAAATGTCAAAGCAGTAACAGTAAGTTTCTGTTTCAAGAGATTCCAACTACTTTGAGGTTTGCCACATTGTGATCTAGAAGGAGTCCGGTTTTATCAATAGATGTAGAACTGTTCCTATGCTCTGCTCCATATTTATCAATATGACACCAATCTTGAAAGTTAACATTACCCATAGTTAGACAATCAATACTTCTATAGGGAATTTTAGAGATAAAATCAGCTATCTAGAGAAATTTTTCATACTTGACAAGTTATGCAGTAAAATTTGTGCAAATTACTACGCCAAATAAGACATGAAACCAAATTATCTTGACATTGGTTTCACATAGCAGGGCATGTATATACCTAGATATGATCACATTCATCTACACCCACCATTTTCTGATCGATTGATTTGTTATTTTCCTCTACCGACAGTTACAGCTAAATGCTACCAGTGAATCACATCTCGAATAATAAGAATACTGGAATGTGGAATTAAATTATGGAACTTAAATTAAAGACACCAAGTATCATCACTTGTTTTTTAAAGCATACCAAATTGAGCATTCACTATTTACCAACATAAGGCGGACCAAAATACAAAATAATCAATCAACTGATTCCGCATACTGACACGTGTGAGTAAATCATGGAAAGACATACAACCCGTACACAACTGATTTTAGATTAATATACCAAATAAGCATCCTGCAATGATCCTCTACACCAAAACCGAAGAACGTGATCATATGATGCAAACCAGCATCACAAGTGATCGATCAGATCAGCTGGGAGTAAAAAGTCACCTAACGTGATAATTACTCATTTTCTTTCATATTGCAAAAATAGAGGTAGTATACTGAAACAAACAGAACAAGTCACAGTCCATAACCATGCAGAGCCTTAACGTGGGTCTTATGGTAGTGGTACAGTTACAAAAGATGGCCATAATGTTACAAAGATTATGAAGACCACAATATCATTTCTGAATAACTGGTTGATCAAAAAATGAGACAAGCACATTTGTCTATCTTTCAAGCCATGAAAGTTCAGATCAAACAATAAAGGATTCAAAGAATAGCTAGGTTACCAATCGAATCATGCTCTTCAACTTATTCCTCAATCTTATGGCTACAATAGTAAGATGAGGAAAAGAAGTGAGAAGCACCAAACCAGGCCCCCATTGATCAAATACTGGAACACTTTTCACAATACTCCAGCTTCTCTGACCGAAAATTGCTTTCATAGTAAAGAAGCATAGATTTAACAGTAATGTAGACCATTCCAGATGAACTTCAAAAGACTTTTCATGTAACAATGAATATGATCTACTAATTACTACTCATCAGAAATCAAAGCCAGAAATATATCACATAGCACGTGAACTAACAAATAGAACAACAACAAACTCACAAAATCAATCGAAACCCCAAGCCAATCAAGGAAAAATAAGTACATTGCCCCAAAAAAGCCTCAATTTTCACCTTCAACTTCAGAGCATTTTCAGTTACAAAACCTCAAACATGCACATCAACAGACGATCAATTCAGGCACAGCTGCACAACGAAACCATGCACATACAAAACACCAGCAGCATCATCTGATCAACCATACACCGAAACCCACATTAAAGAACCAAAATATAAAAATGGGAAAAGGAAAAATCCCAATGATCAGCCAAACCTAACAGACCACCATGCAGAAAAGACCTAATCTTTCAGCAATAAAAGCCAAACCCCACATCCAAGATACTCACTTTCAACCCGCGGAATGCGAATGTGCGTTTCTTGCCGCCAAAACAGCACGGCCCTGCTCTGGAAAAACAGGGGATGAAGCACAGATAAGCGGCAGAAGAGGGCCATGATAAAAATGAGGTAGAAAATGGAGGAAAACAAGATGGCAGAGGCACAGGGATTCGTAAAGCGAGAAAGAGCGGCAAAAATCAAACCTTCTCGACGGAAAACCAATGGACTGCAGGATATCCTAACGCCGCCGGTGAGGCGGCTTTCTTTGCCCCTCTCTTTCCCCCTGTCGTTTGGGGTTTTGGGGGAAGGAGGTAAATGATACAAAACAATACGGCCTAAAAGACACTCACTCCCTCCCTTCTGCGGTCCCTCCAACTCAACTCCCAAGAGATATCTTAGAGAAAGGGGGAAAGAGAGCGACGAGTTGGAGAGTTGGGGAAAGCAAAGAGCAGACACTGCGCCGGTAGAAAAGGTTTGGCCTTTTCAATGAAAGAGTTAAAAGGGTTGCGTCCGGTGGGCCAACGTTTCCAACTCAGCTGGCTAACCGGTTGAACTGGCATTCCTAATCCCCTATTTTACTTTTACGTTTTTTTCCTTTTTAATGGAAAAGCAATAATAATTGGGGGGAAAAGAAGGCAAAGTGATTCTCTTTTATCTCTTTCTCTCACTTCTGTTGTTTCTACACTCTTTCTCTCTCTTATGTAAGCTGGTTCAGGATCAGCTTTAACCGCCGGTTAAGAGATTCGTGAGTTTAATAAGTTTAAGCTACACAGGTAGCTTAGTAGCTATACAGCTGTGCTATTAGGCAGTCTGCTCAGTCAGGTTTTGTAATCATGGAAAAAAGAGTTGTTGAACTAAACTATCAAATGTGGAATACAATGAAACAACTTTACGCAATCTTCTTCAAAATCTTTTTTTGCATTTAGGGTCGTTTGGAAGTTGCGATAGTTTTGTTGAGATTGTCATTATACATGTATTGTTTACAATGCATCGTTTTTTTTTTAGCAGAAACAATATATGAATTGTTTTTGTGATGTGACAGAAACTATCACTCATTTTGAGTGATTGTTATATCTCAACTTTTAGTTGTGCTGGTTGAGATAGTTGAGTTGAGATTGTTTTGTCTCAGCTTTTAGCTGATGCGACAGACACAATCACACATACGAAACATTGTATTCTACAATGCATCAAATTCGACAATACATGTATAATATTATACATGCATTCTCAACAATACATCTATTTAAAATCGCAACTTCCAAACGACCCCTTAACTCATTAGTTACGAAGAATAAAGAGTTCAACTTTTAGTTCCAACAATAGGAAAGAGTCTAAATGCACTCAGTTACAATCACATTATCACACCGTGTTTAACAAATACAATCAACAAGACAAACAAAAAATCAAAGTAGCCACTAAAAAGAGCAAAACCCTTGAACCAAAACTAGACATGAGGAATCTCTCTTACAACCAATCAATCAGAGTGCAACAAGATCAGAATCTGCTTGTCCTATCATATCGAAATCCATGGCTATTGAGCACAGCAAGCCATGTGTTGCCTCCTACGTATTGCTCAACTACATCCAATACAGTTAATCTCATAATGGCGAAGGAGGAGGATATGAAATGGATTGCTCTAAGCTAAAGAGGGAGCCGAGATAGAGAGATCAGGTTCAAAGAAGAGTAGAAGATCCCAAAGGATCCACAAACCTTAATGGAAAACACTGATTCCCAACTACAGTCACCGGAGAAGTCCTGATCCTCCATGATCTGATGACCAACCAAGCAACACTAACCCACTAGGGATGTCAAAGGGGATGGCTTCAGCAAAGTGATGACACAACCAACCTGGGAAAAACACCACCATCCTTATATGAATGAGGCGCCCAAACTGCTACCTCCATATCCTACAATGAGCAAAGCCCATAACAGAGAACCTACGAATCCAAAGAAGAGCAGCAGCTCAACTGAAAAAGGGGGAAATTGAAGGCCACAACTGCTAAAAAAACATAACTGAAAATTTGATGGAAAATGCCCAAATCAAAGGCTAGAGACACAAAAGCATGAAAATAACAATAAAAGGGGTGCCAACGACAGCCTTGTCACCAAAAGGGAGCCAACGACAGCCCCTTAAAGGCATAGCAAGACAGAGAGAAATTTAAAATTAAAATTAGAGAGAGTTTGTTGAAAAAATAGCTTTCATTATACGTATTTGTGTGTATCTAAATATGACATTTTCATCAAGGTTGGTTGTTTACATAAATATTATAAGAAGAAAATTATATAAAACATCGCAGTTAAAAAAAAATATTTTTCCAATCTACAGAAGTAAAAGACTAATTCATGCATGAATTAAGGAAGACAAAATGTTGAATTATGGTGCTGGTATTTTCTTTACTGCAAAACCGAATTGGTGTGAGAATAACTCAACTAGGGAGCGCGCCCCAATTTGCGTTTCAACGTTCCCAGACACGTTACGAGAAATTTCCAACGAGCAAACAAACGGGAAAATGGTTTTAACTGACAAATTTGAGAAAAATGAGCATTTTAATGCGCCTAAATTTAGGAGGTCATTTTGCTAATGAATTGTCACATCTTCTTCCGCCATTCTTTACTTTCATCTACTACAAATATCATCCAACACTGTGAACAAAGTTCATGCATTTTGATTGCTCAAACATTTGAGAGATTATGGCTAATACGGGGTATGTGTATATCAACCTTCGTTTCTGCTTGAGTTAATATTTTATTAGTAGATTGAGATTGTGTGTGTAAATTAGTTAGATAGTTATTTTATTTTTTCTATATTTTTTTTTATGTCTTGTGCATAGAGCCTTCAAACTTGTTGTTTGGTGGAGAATTCAACAAAAAAGAGAGAAAGTTAGGGTTGAGGTTTACTGGTGGTTCCAATTCATGATGAGCAACTATATGAGCTAATCAACACTAATTGATGACAATAAGGGGTAGAAAAGACATTAACTGCCTTTACATTTAGGTTGTCAGAATTGCAAAGAAAAAGTAAATTTTATCACTGTGGTATCCCTGCTATGGATGATGTCAGAGTTGATATGACAAAAGATTTCATGGCACGAAATCCAAATCGTGAGTTTTGCTTAGATAGGTGTTGAGTTCGCTAGTCATCTAGAAGAGAAGGGAGATACATTGAGTATGCGCTCGAGTAGTGCCCTTAGTGAGCCAAATGATCATATGGATGAGGGCAACGAGGACAATTGGTGATGGCAATTTGAACCCGCCTTGCGGGTATTACCCGACCCAAAGTAGCGTGGAACAAGGCATGTGTATATACTTCCGACCCTCCCTGGCCCACTCTTGGCCCAATCTAACTCAAATTTCTATAGTATTTATTCATATTTCTCCTAATTTAACTTTTCTTCAACTAGTTAGAGTCGATCTTTCAACTAGTAAGACTCAATTACTCATTCTATTACCACTATTGTCATTTATAAAGTGTTTTCCCTTCATTTTATCGTAAAAAGTAAAGTTTTACGTATATTTTTTCAAATAACATGCAAGAGTGGGTCGACCCGACCCATACCCGCGCGAGTATTACCCCCTCCCCCCCCCCCCCCCTCCGGCGACCGGTAGTAGCGTGGGGCGGAGCATGGGTATTGGGGTACCCGCTCGCCCCATTGCCGAGGACAAGGATAATGGCAATGATGTCGATGTAGATGAGCACCAAATTATTGTGATTGAAGGAGCGCCTGCTACATAAAATATAGAGACATATGTTCCTGCAAAACATTATTTTGTGCTTCCGGAAGGCTATGACAACGACTTGAGAATTGACTCTTATGGAGATATGAATGATAAACTAGGAAGCCGTCCAGGACAAGAGTTCTACATTGTTCAGATAATTTGTTCAAAATAAGTTGTACAAAGGGCCATAAAAATTTACGCGATGGGAAGTTACTTCCAAATTAGATTGGTAGAGTCAACACCAACTTTGGAAGGTGAAATGCAACAACTACAAGGAGAACATCTACACATGGATGGTTCGGTTTGCCTCAAAAGATTCTAGTGGGGATTAGATAATTAAAAGACAGATTTGGCGCATTCTTATTGCAACACGACTCAATTGAAGGATCATCGCCAACGTGATGTAGATATTATTTTTGACACCATGAGGCGTTTTGTTAAAACCCAATCATATATACGGGATAAATTACACGTTTGGTCACTCAAATTACACAAATTTTCACGTTTGCCACCCGAATTACTTTCTTTCTTATTCGCCACTAACTTTGTGAATCGTTTCACTGTTAGTCACTAAGTGGCAGTCAATTATAACATTTGATCGTTAACTAGATGCATGAAAATGAAAAATAAATAAAAAATTAAATTATTTTTACACTTCATCATTTCACTTACTTTGATTTACCAAGCACCGCCGCCGATGGATCTAATCACACTTTGCATGAAGATTATACTTCGATTAGTACTGCAGCTTTTCATAGAAGCAGAAGTTGAGCCATTTCTACCGCCGACGGTGTTCTCACCTCGACAACGACATGTAAATTACAGAAGCCAGTAGCAACAATAGCAACTCTAGCCTAGCTGCTTTGGGTGGGGGAAACAATATAGGTCTGTTTATCAAAAGTTAGCATAATTGTACTCTGGGTTTGCTCTGTGTGGCTCTGTGAAATTCTTTCAATCCCGAATCTCTGATACATCAAGGAAAAGATCCATTTTCCATCTCTTTAACTGTGGGTATGCTGGTTTAATGGTAGGTTATTTCCCAGACTCCAACACGAGCTGATGGGGAAATTTTTGCGATTCATCATTGTCGGCCGCTGAATTCAATCGGCACAGAAAAGCATTTAGAGTGAAACAGAATCGCTAGAGGACTAACGAAGAAGGGAGAGGGGCATCGGTATTGGGCCAGCTCAGACAGATGAAATATTGGGATCGGGATGCCTAATCATAGACTCATTCTCTCCAATTTGCTCAGCCTCGCCCTGCTTTACAAGTTCAGCGGGATCTACCTCAATACCGACGTCGTGGTCCAGTGGAGCCTCGCCGGGCTAAGGAATTCCATCGGCGCACAGACATTCGGCCGGAATCGCCCGCTCGTTTATCGGTTCATCGTGGAGTTCGCAAGGACGTTTGACGGGAACAAGTGGGGGCATAATAACGATCTGTATTTGGGTTTGAGGGTCGTGGAAAGGGTGGTGGACGCAGGGGATTCGGGTTTTAATTTCACGGTGCAGTCGCTGGCGGTGTTTCATCCTGTAGATTGGAACATGATTTTGGCCCTGTTTCACGATCGCGGGGTCGGGTTCATGCGAGGTGGCTGAGGAAGAAGCTGGGGCAGATCATTGGCGGTGCTTGGTAAATCAAAAAGTAGGCGGAATGATGAGGTGTAAAAATAATTTAATTATTTTTTTATTTTCATCTCATCTAGTTAACGGTCAAATTTTATAGTTGACTGCCACTTAAGACAAATTTAACGGAGTTCAACGACCGGTGACTAACGGTGAAACAACTCATAAAGTTAGTGGCGAATAAGAAATAAAAATAATTTGGGTGGCAAACATGAAAAATTTGTGTAATTTGAGTGACCAAACGTGTAATTTAGCCCATATATACGTGTCAAAGCTTTACAGGTCGAGTGCAAAGATAGGTATCAAATTAATATACATTACAAAAGGCCTAGTATGCTAAGCAAAGGGCGATGTAAAAGGTTTATGCAATAGAAAGAAATCATATGATGATTTGGAGATGTTGATGCGCATTATCAAGATAAAAAACACCCAACATCTATTATTGACTGGGTGGCGATTCCCTCATCTATGTCAGACCACAAGATATTTTAGCCAATGTTTTGATCATTTGGCCTTGCATACAAAGCTTCAAGAGTTGTCTAGGAATCATCCTCGTTGATGGAACGTTTCTCACAGGAGAAAATAAAGGTACATTGCTCATTGCAAGACTCGTTGGTGAATAAAAAATATCTAATCAAGAATCGAATAAAATATTATAGTAATCAAACGTGAAAGTTTATAGTAGTTTTAGTTACTGCATAGCCTAACAAATAGTGCTCATTATGGTTCTTATAATGTTTTTGTTCTTATATATATTAGAGAACAAAATATGAACCTACTATTTTCATATATTATGTTGGATGAAAATTTGAAAGAGAACAATTTTACATTAGCCTTAGAGTGGTTATGTTTTGTGTTGTGGACTTGTGGCCCTCTGTTCTGTTACTTTTTACCAGAAGCGGATATGAATTTTTTCTTCTTCTTTTATAACAGAACATACGATGCTCATTTATGTTTCGTGGTGCTTGCCATTGCCTGCCATAGGAGTATAGGACTGTGGAAGAACAGCACAATCTGAGCAGCGTGGACTGGTCTGCTGCTATAGTATAACCAAAAGGAATGGGTGACGTTGGTTAAACTTTAAAGAGTGTAATTATGACCCCTATCATCCTCGGTCAATTTATTTATTATTACCACTTCTGTGATGAAATCTTTTGTTTAAGGCTGCAGGAAATGAGGTTCTCATATCTCTGACTCTTTCAAAACAATTGATAAAATCATGTTAAGAGAGCGAATAGGGTGTAATTATTATCAGTAAAATATTTTTTCTTTGATAAATTTATGGAAATTTGCTTCTTTTACTTCCTTGGAGTTTTTTTTTTTATAGAAATCTGTATTTTATTCAGCTCTTATTCCATCCTTCTCAAGAAAAGAAATGATAGCCCAAGGGGGCCTGTGGACCCAAAGATCTGTACTGTCCCAATTAAAATTCAAATGGGCCATGGCATGGGCCGGTTCGTTTCCGGTTCGTTTTGTAAATCTCCATCGAACCAACCCAAGCCTTGACGCTCTGGTTTTGATTTCTCGGGCGAGCACTCCTCCTTCCAGCCTCATCATTTCTCCACCTGCATCTGGTGGATGGCATTGAGACAGTCGCTTTCCACATCCACCATTTGCAAATTATGCTCCTCCGCCATCTCCACACCAAACGCGATTGCGCGCAATTCAGCTAATTCTGGCGGCCATTGAGTCCTTTCGCGACGCACTGCTGCCAGGAGAAACTGTCCGTTCGCATCTCTAGCCACCACCCCCAAACCAGTTCCTTTCTCCGCCAGCACAGCCGCATCCACATTCAGCTTCACCCAGCCTTCCGTTGGTGTCTCCCAGGTATCATTACTTTCTCCCCTCTCCTCCTTTTCCTTCAAATGGTGCGATTGGAATTCCTCCCAGTAGGTTAGGGCTCATCCCACGATTTCCCATTCTTCAGCCTTTTTCTTATTAAACATGTGATTGTTCCGCTCATTCCAAATCGACCACAGTAGGATTCTTAGCTTCTCCAGAATTTCATCTTCAGTTTGATCCATAACCGCACATAGCCAGCTCCCAGATGATAGGTTGGGTTCGAGTTCGAATAGGGGTCTGAACATGGAATCTTTCCAAATTCTAATAGCCCACTGGCACTCCCTGAATATGTGATTATGGGTTTCATCAAGGGCACAGAAAGGGCATTCTGTTGCAGCCTCTTTCTTTCTCTTTTCAATATTTTTCCCTGTGGGGAGAATCTCATGAGCTAGTTTCCATAGGAAGATTTTCACCTTTGATGGAATTGTTAACTTCCAGAGTCTTGTCCAGGCCTTAGGGTCGTAGGCATCCACCCTTTCCCCTTGGCCATCTCCCATATCTACTTCCATATCCCCATTCGTCTCCTGTCCCATGTACCCTTCCTGGATTTGTTGTTTGTATGCTAATTTGACTGTATAACAGCCTTTCCTCTTTGCACTCCAGACAAGGGTGTCTTCAGATGGTTGTCTTGGGATAGGGATGGCCAGTATTCTTTCTCTGTCTACTTCATTGAAGTGTGTCTGCAGCATGTTCCTTCTCCAGTTGCCTTGCTCATGGTCAATTAAGTCAATGACTCTAGTTAGGCCCCCAGCATTAGGCTTAGGTGTTGTCACCCTAAACTTAGAGTCTTCTGCTCCCGCTACCCATTTATCTGACCATATATTAATGGTTGATCCATTTCCAACTCTCCAACGAGTTCCATTCTTCACTGTCTGTTGAGCAGCCATTATGCTTCCCCAGGTATAGCTGGGGTTTGACCCTATTCTTGCCTCCAGAATGGTGGAATTAGGGTAGTACTTTGCTTTCAACATTCTAGCTGCTATGGATTCTGGATTGTTGATGAGATTCCAGATTCGCTTCCCTAACAGTGCTATGTTGAAAGTCTTCAAGTCTCTAAAACCCATTCCTCCCTCCTTCTTTGGTTTGCATAGTTTGTGCCATGCTTTCCATGGAATCCTCCTCTCTTCCTTCTGCTGTCCCCACCAGAAGGCTGCTATAGCCTTCCTCATCTCACTTAGCACACCATCAGGTATAAGGAACACTGACATCGAGTAAGTGGCTTGAGCTTGCGCCACTGATTTTATCAGAACTTCTTTAGCTGCAATGGAAAGGGTTTGTCCCTTCCAGTGTTTTATTTTCTTTCTTATTCGATCAGTCAGTGCCTGGAAAGCTGCCTTTTTTCCCCTGCCCATTACTGTAGGTAGTCCTAAGTATTTTTTATGGAAATCCACCTGTTTCATTCCCAGTATACTTGCCAATTCGTCCCTTTTGGTCTGATCCACACTTGGGCTGAAACTAAGCTCAGATTTTTGCAAATTGACTACTTGACCTGACTCCTTCTCATAGTCCTTAAGGATGTCCCTCAGTTGGCTGCTTTCTTGAGGAGTAGCTCTTGTAAACATTATGCTATCATCCGCAAACAGGAGATGCGAGATGGCTGGGCCTCTGGCCGAGGTTTTTAAACCATGAAGCTTCCCCGAGTTCACTGCATTATTCAGTAGGGTAGCCAGACCTTCAACACAGAATAAAAATAGGTAGGGTGATAGAGGATCACCCTGCCTCAATCCCCTCTCAGGCCTGAATTCTTCAGATCTGTGTCCATTAACCAAAATCGAGTAGGTAACTATGGTAATACACTTCATTATCAGTCCCACCCATTTCTCATCAAATCCTAGTTTAAGCATCATAGCCTCTAAGAATTCCCATTCCACTCGATCATATACTTTGGAAATATCCAGTTTGGCTGCCATAAAGCCTTTCTTAGCTCGAGTCTTCTGCTTCATAGTGTGAAAACACTCAAAAGCCACTAGAATGTTGTCTGTTATGAACCTTCCTGGTATAAATGCACTCTGTTGCTCCCCTATAACCTGATTCAATACCCCTTTGAGTCTGTTTGCAATTACTTTTGACATGACTTTGTATAGAACATTGCAAAGGCTTATAGGCCTGAAATCCACAGGAGAGGTTGGTTTGTTTTTCTTTGGAATCAATGCAATCAGGGTCTTGTTCAACTCCATAGGGAAATCTCCAGTCTCTAAATAAGCTCTCAATTCACTGAAAACTGTTTGCCCTATAACATTCCAGTGCTTCTGAAAAAATCTAGCAGACATCCCATCAGGTCCAGTGGCCTTATTAGGTCCCATTCTTTTCAAAGCCATCCATATCTCTTCCTCTGTAAAGGGCTCCAAAAGAGCCTGGTTCATTTCTGTTGTTACTCTAGGGGTGACTAATGGGAGAATTTTACTCACATTTGGTCTCCTCCCTTTAGCAAACAGTCTTTGCATATGCTCTAACAGGCAATTTGTCACCTCCTGCTGGCCAATGAAAACACCGCCAGTTTCATTTTGAAGCCTTCTTATTGTGTTCTTTCTTCTCCTCTCTGAAGCTTTCCTATGAAAGTAACCTGTATTTTGATCCCCCTCCCTCAGCCAATCAGCCCTTGATCTCTGTTTTCATTTCATTTCTTCTTGGAGGATGATGTCATTTAGTTCTTGTTCAATTATTTTCCTCTGTCGTAGCATTGACTTGGTTCTTTTCCTTTTTTCCAGAGCTAACAGAGCTTTTTCAGCCTTCTTTCTCTGCAACTTTAGAGAGCCAAATGCCTCCTTACTCCAGGTAATCAGCTTTTCTTCACACTGTTTAATTCGTTCCATAGAGCCTCCCCCTTGTTGATGCCAAGCTTCTTCAATTATTTTGTTGCAATCTTCATGTCTCTCCCAATATGGTTCATAGCGGAACGACCATCCCCAAGTGATGTCTTCTTCCTCCAAATCTAGTTTAATCTGAATTGGTATATGGTCTGATCCACATCTCTCAAGATGATAAACTCTCATGTTAGGATAGAATTCCTTCCATTCCTTGTTTCCCAAGGCTCTGTCCAGCCTCTCTTCTATATAGTCTTGGTCAGCTCGATTGTTTTCCCAAGTAAATATGCGCCCATAATAGCCACAATCTTCTAGGTTACAGAATCCAATTGCTTCCCTGAACATTTCCATCATCTTTTCTTCAGGTTCTCTATTACTACTCTT